AACATCAACTATGCTATGCTATGCCGCGCTATGCTATGCTATGCTATGCTGTGCTGTGCTGTGCTGTGATGTGCTATGCTATGCTATGCTGCGCTGTGCTATGATAAACAGTGTTATGATATGATGTGCTATGCTATGCTGCGCTATGCTATGCTATGCTATGATATGCTGAGCTATGCTATGCTATGCTATGATATGATTTGCTATACTATGTTATGCTGTGCTAATGCTGCGCTGCGCTATGCTGCGCTGCGCTTAGCAAAGCTGAATATGCGATGTTATGCTAATGCAGCGCTGCGCTAGGCTAAGTTAAACTAAGCTAAGCTAAGCTAACCCTCTAAGCAGAGCCTAGGTAGGGAATTACACCCATGCTATGATATGCGATGCTGCGCTATGCTATGCTACGCTATGCTATGCTATGCTGTGCTCTGCTATGCTAAAGCTCAGCGAAGCTAAGATGAAGGTAAGCTAAGCTAAGATGAAACTGATGTAAGCAGAAGCTAAGCTAAGGTAATATGAAATGAGCTAAGTTATGATGAGATAAGCAACGCGAAGCTAAGGGAACGTCACTGGGGGAACCGCGGGGCGGATCCTGGGGAAACTGCCCGGGGCGCGCATTCCACTGCCCGGCCCTTTAAGCCTCAGAGTAAGAACCCTTCTAGGCAGAGCCTAGGTAGGGGAAAAAACGGAGGTTCTGGCAAATGTTCGGCCTTCCCGGGCCTTTGCCGGACCCCAGGGCCGTCCAAAACACGGTTTCGGGCGAAAAACTTGCTGGGGCAAAGTGTCGGTCGGGACTTCCAAGGACCCCGCATTGTAAAATCAGGGCATCGAGTGTCGGGGAGAGGAGAGCGGATGGCGAAGCTGAAACAGTATCAATGACACGCCGCCGCGGGGAACCCATCAGCGTGCAGTTGTTGAAAGGATGGTGGGCCTGTGGGCAAAAGCGGGAGAATAGCGCGCTGGCGGGCTCTCAACGGCACCATTGATACTAACTGGTTTCCTCCCGCGGGGGGCACCATATATCAAGACTGTTCGCCGTTCGTTGATCACGCGCCACTTAACACGCATACACCCCTAACCCTCGAACCTCGATGCCCGCCCTTTCTGTCTTCGATCATACGATCGATGACGAGCCAAGCCATACCTGACTCGTGCCGTGTTCAGGCCTGCGTGCGCGCAGATCCGTACGTGCCCACAGACCTGCACGCATGCAGGTCTGTCCCCCACCAAAAGTACATGTGCGCGGAAACCCTGGGAAGAACAACGGCGCTAAGGGTTATGAGATGCCTAATGGTGACGGTGAGATAGATGGTGGATACGCCACGATAAGATGGATGATGGGCGATGATCGAAACATGTTCAATTACACACGTGATTAGGTACAGCGACCACTGCCAACAACAGATGGTCCCCCGGCGATGGATCTCGCCAAGGTGTGCCGCACCAAAGAGCAGACTGATGGCCCGCCACGTTCCTCTCCAGGGTCAGGCGTTTGAGAACTGCTGCAAACGCAGGTTCTGTGCCACATCGCGTAGGCGAGTTCAATGTCAATCTGCAGCAATGGCAGTGCGATAGCATGCGGCGGTCCACCTTTGACCTCGAGCCCGAGCCACTGATGCTGTCACTTGGCTGGAAGCCTCACGCCGGCACTTGGCTGAAAGCCTCGCTGCCGCTTGCGAGCTCTTGCTGGGTCTTGGTGGCAACTTTTCCCGCAGCTGCGTAGGCTACAAGCATCCTCGCACAGCAGTCGCGCCTCCTCCGCCGAGGTCCCCTGCCACACCAGTCGTCCCACTTTCCCCGCATACATGCGTCCCGCTCCTCCCGTGTGTACGGAGGTACGCACGGCGTGGTGAACGGTCTGTTGTATCACTCGAGCACTCTTTGATGCCACTCTCTGTTGGCCTCCTCGGCCATCAGCGCCACGGGCAGTTCGGGCGGCGGCGGCTTCGGCGCGTTTGGCGGCGGCAACCTGCAAGAGGGCGGACGTCGGACGGCGGCACCTTGGGCCCGCGCGCGTCGACCAGCATGGAGCACACCGCGGGGTCGAAACGCGCCTCAAGCGGCTGCGCTTTTGTGCGCGCCCTGTGCCGGCAGGGCGGCCGGCGCCTTGAACGACTGGCACCGGACGGGCGGCGCCTTGGGCCCCGGCGCTGCGATCGATGCTGCGCCGCCGCCTGCGGGCGCTGCGCTGCCGTCGGCCGAGGCTGTGGGCGCTGCGCCGCGGCGCGCGGCTGCGGGAGTCTTCGAGCAGCTGCCGTCGAGCGGCTTCGGGGGGCTGGTGCGGGCGACTCGGGGCGCCCGCCTGAACTCGGCCTCCAGGGCCGCCTCGTGTGCGTCGTCCTCTGCTGCTGCGGCTTTATCCACACATGCCGCCCTGCGGCCCGCCTCTCTCCGCAACTCCTCGGCGGCGCAGCAGGGGCGCTGCGCGGCCGTCGGACGGGTCAGGGCGGCCGCCGCCGACCGAGGCCGCAGAAACAGCCGAGGCTGCGGGGGAGCCGCCGCTGCCATGGGTAGAAAGCGTCGGCGGCCTGGGAGGACTCCCAACCGCGGGGGGGGCCAGCGCACATCGCCGGGGAGGTCCAGGGAGCGCACAGGGGCACCGGTGGCGCACGTGATTCCGAAGGGTAGGTCTTTTGTTCTATGTTGGGACTCCGTCCAGAGGATCGGCCATACCACTGCGCTGGGTGCGTCGGGGTGGGCGGAGCGGACCTGGATGGACGCGCGCAGTCTCGCACGTTCGACTGCGATGGCCTCCTTCCAGGTTTCTGGGTGGAGAAATGCCAGAAACTCTTCGAAGCCGTCGCCTTCGCGCTCCATCCTGCTATGGGGTCCCCTTGTACTGGCAACCATGGTCGACCACGCGTGTACCGCCCCCTCTGCTTATCGACAACGTGCCAAGCGCAATGTTTTCTGGAGGTGGCACGGGCCTCCATTCCTTTGGCGCCATCTCCGACTGACTGGAAGCCTCTCGGAATGCGCGGTGAGTTCATCGGAAGCGAGAATAGCCAGGAAGGCTCAGAATTTTGAGCCCTATGTGCTATGGTGGAAGCGGGTGAACAGGAAAAGGAGGCGGAGTGGTCGTGGAAAGGGGAGAGGGCCAGAGGGGAATCGGACAGGGTGCGAACGCATAGCGAGAGGGAAAGGGCGAAGGGGGGGAACAAGTAATTACGCAAGTAACTACACGGGGGGGAGAGGAGGCCACGGTGCTGAAGCAGCGTTCAGACCTCCCGTTCCCGCCAGCGCCGCCGCGCGCCCGAGCCACTCAGGCCGAAACAGCGTTTCCAGCCTCCGCGGCGCCACTGCCACCGCTTGCCTGACAGCCCCCGCGGGGTGCAGCTGCGCCAGCGTCGGCAGCCCCCCCGCGCGGCAGGCGCATCGACCAACCCGTCAGCGAAGATCTTAGCCGGAAGCCTCTTCGCTGGAATTCTTATTTTCCCCATCAACGACGCCGAATGCAAGGAGTTTGGGCCGCATGTCCTCCAGCAGCTCGGGCGGCCATTTCCCGGAAAGACCCGCGGCCCACCGACCCTCCGCCAGCCGCTCCGATCGACAGAGGATGGCGTACACAAATGCTCTCTCCATGAAGTAGCCATTCGCATAAAGCAACCGAAGAAGTCAATACATCCCCGTGCGTTCGCAATAAACATATTCCACCAACAATGCACCTAGAAACGCATACTTAACATTCTGGGGATTTGGATGAGTCCACCGAGAATTCGCCACGTGGCCGCCCGTGAGACTCGTTGCCGCCTCGTTGCCGCCTCGTGCGCTGGGTGGGTCCGCCGAATTCTCGCGGCATTGCCGCCCGCGCCATCTCGTTGCCGCCTCGTTGCCACCTCGTGCGCTGGACGGGGCCACCGAAGATTCGCCACGTTGCCGCCCGTAACACCTCGTTGCCGCCTCGTTGCCGCCTGAGTCTTCGATCTCCCAGGAAGACAAACCACGACATCGAGCTGTTTATGCCCAAATGCTCGTCGGCCAGCCTTGCAATGAAAGGCTCTTGCTTACGTTCTAAGCTCTGTCCCTTGGCTCGGACCACATGCTCACACCACGTACATTGCAAAACTGATATTTCACGACAGAGTTTCCACCACGTAGCTTGTACCACATGTCTGTCATCACATAGCTTGCACGACGTAGATTGCACCAGATAGCTTGCACTACATAGCTTGCCACACGTAGACTGCACCACAAAGCTGCACCAGATGCACCGAGGTCCGCAAAGGCCAGAGTTCAGAGAACTCCAGTGCCCCATACATGCACTTCACACGCGAAAGGCGGCAGCGGGGCAGCCCAGAGAAAAAGCCAAGGTGGAACCCTGACCTCAAAACTCAAGAGCCTCCTGCCTCCTCCATTCTCCTTCACGCGACCTCATCCCCCATCCTTCCCTCCCCCCTCCCACTCTCCTCCCTCCATGCCTTCATCAATCCATCGTCCATCTCTCCTTCCTGTATCCCTCCCTCCCCAATCCCTCCCCCCATCCACACCTCCCTCAACCATCCTCCCTCCTCATTTCCCTCCTCGATTCTCCCTCGTTCGGGTCGCCAGAGCACCCCGGCTCAATGCGGCAACTTTCAGGGTCGCAAGGGCGCCCCGAATCAGTGCGGCAACAATCAGCTGGATACAAAGCACAGACCCCCTTCTCAGGACCAGGGACACGAAGGGGGGATAAAGAGGGGAAGGGGGTCCACACACGGGCATTCGACGACGCAGCCTGTCCCCAATACTCCCTGCGACGCCGCGGAACGCTCTCACCAAATGGTGCCCCGTAATTATCCAAAGCCGCGCTCGAGCTTGTAATAAAGAAATAAGGGGACACCATTGCGAGATACCCTTCGTCACCCCCCCTCGGGCCGCAGCCCAAAAATTAAGGGACCGAATTCAGATAGCCACCACAAGACCAAGACAACATAAGACGCCACGTGGTAACCGAAATTACGAGACACAACCCCCTACTGAAATTAAGGGACACCACCATGGTGGAAGACTTATGGGACTCCGCGACCCCATATGTGTTCGACCCCCCCCTCCCAGTATTTACATGCCCTCTGGTATTGTTTTTCGCCGCAAGACCCCCCGATACTTCCCATGCATCCCACTCTCATGTTCACACGTAATGTTGCCCACTGTGGGCCCCTGACAGAAACTGATTGCACTGTGGATGTGTAAACTATGTAGTGTGAGCTAGATGGGTAAGCTATGTGGTCCAACATAAGTGGGACAAGTTTTGCGACGTAAGCTACTTTTTGTCGCAGCTGCAGGCGAGCGCGCCAGCAGCGTCGGTAGAGTCGCATGGGCCGCGAGCGCCCTAATTGCTGGCGCGCGCGCCGAGCAAGCAAGCTAACCTACCGCCGGGGGCAGCTGCGCCGAGGCAGAGCTGCGCCGAGGGGTGGAAGCTGCCAGCTGCGGAGGCGGCTGGAGAGATGCAACGTGCGAGTACCATGGGAGCGAGATCACCAGGCACGGGAAGTAAACCTTGTCGCCACCGAGCGCCAGAGGCACGAGAAGCAGACCGCCAGGGGCACGCCAGGCTGAACAAAAAGGCTGAACCACTCCTGCGAGCACCAGCAACCCCAGGAGCGTGGCGTAAGCTGCGCGATGCGTGGAGAAAACTATGCGGTGCAAGCTCTGTAGTACAAGCTATCTGGCGTAATCTACATGGTGCAAGCTACGTGGTGCAAATTTTCGGCAACGTGCATGAAGTCGCAAGCTAGAACCTCAAACTGCAAGCGCTGGCCGACGAACACATGGGCATGAACTGCCCCCATGGAAGCTCGAAACACGAGGCGGCGACGGGGCGGCGACGAGGAAGCACGGGACCAAGCGATCAAACCTGCGGACCCACCCGGCGCACCGAACCGGCCACGAGGCAGCACCGAAACGGCAGCGAGGCGGCACGGGGCGGCAGCGTGGCTCCACGCGCGAGGCGGGAACGAGGCGGGAGCGAGGCGGCACGGGCGGCAACGCGGAGAGTCCTCGGCGGACCCGACCAGCGCACGAAGCGTCAGCGAGGCGATACGAGCGGCAACTTGGGGAAGTCTCGTCGGACGCATCCGGATCCTGAGAAGAACCCCTTGGCGGACACACCCAAATCCCTCTGGAACAAACTGGCATGCAACGGCTGTACTGTTGTTCATATGTTTCGCGGCCCTCCCTGCGACTGACGCTTGGACCGCACAATGGAATCGAGACCGCGATGATATGATGAACGCGGGCTCGTGAACATGAAATGTCGTTGTGCGTGGAAAAAAACTCACGAAAATAAACGTGTACTCTAAAGAACAAATGTCACCCGTATAGGAACACGTCGGAATTAAGGGGTCTGCTGGCAGCAGCTCAATGAACACCATCATTGGCCGTGGGCACGGACGCACGAAGCAAGCGGAGCAATGCGTCGGAGGCATCTCTTCCCCCGAACCTGTTCGGCGGGAGCCCCGCGTCCAGCAATTGCGCGAAGGGGGGAACCGAAGCGGTCCTTCACACGCCCCTCGCGATTGAATGGAACTGTCTGCGCCCACCTCGTGGTCAAGTTCGACGCTGGGTCCCACAAGTGCGGCACCGCCACGCGCCGCGGCAAAATGCCTCGCGCCAGCAGTTGTTCCATTTCTGTCTTCCAGATCCAGGCCTGGCGCTGCGTCAGTGTTCTCATCGGGGACATGCAGCACTCTACCAGCGACTTCTGGGAACTCAAACTGTACCCAGCGCTGGCGCGTCCTCTGCAGAGCATCATCGCATTTGAAGGCCTCCAGGTCCAGCTTGTTTGCAAGCGAATGCTGTTGTGCCACCAGCCGCGCCTCATCGGCAGCCTTCTCAGCATTAGCGTGACTCGTTTCGCGCACCTCTAAATCATAGGTTTCCTCGTTCTCCGTCTCCTCCTCTGTCCGTCGACGCTCCAGATCTTCAGCGCGCAGCGCCTCCCCCCGCTCCCTGAGCGCGATGCCGACCACCGTATTGGCGTCCGTCTCGCCCCGCTAACCATCGCACGTTTGGATTCAAAACCGACGCGTGAGCGCCTCAGCCTTGCGGCGCACAGCATCCGACGCACATGCCCAGCCCCCCAACCCGCCCCCTTCCGGAGCATCCGCCGCGAGCGGCGGCTGCCTCTGGGGCGGGCACCGCCGCCCGCGCGCCCGATGCCGCCGCCGCGCCCGGCTGGAAGCCTGCAGCCCTCGCCTGCAGCATCCGCGCTGCCCTCTCCTACCCCTTGCGCCCCCGCCACCACCCGCCCCCCTGCCCGTCGTCGCCGCCCTCGGCGGCGCGCCCGCCGCCCCCGCCGCCGCCTCCGTCGGGGCCGAACAGGCCCGAGCCACCAGCAACCTCGCCACCTCGCCACCGTCGGTCTCGGGCCCCTCGCCCTCGCCCTCGTCCCCCGCCACGGCCCCGAGGCCAGAGGCACCTCCCGGCCTTCCTCCGGCGCCTCCTCCACCCCACCATGGTCCTCGCTGAGCGCATCGCTGACTTCCCCATTCCACCCCAACCAGCGACCAGCGGCCCACCCCTCACTGACGTAAGCGACCGCCTCATCGCGGATGTGCACATCCACGAATCTGGGACCCCACGCGCGTCATCCGTCTTGGGCGATTACCTCGATAACGTAGCGTAAACCATTGAAGACGTCGCCGTGATGCACGGCCCCGGCCAGGGGCATGGTGGTACCAGTCTGCGAGTACCACTTCCGTGCCAGTCTCTGATGATCGAAGGTGGCCCACACCACCTGCACCAAGGAGGTACAATTCTCATTGCGCATGTCGGGAATGCGCCGCGAACCCGTCGCCATCAACCTGGCCCGATCCTCACACTTGTTCTCGCACTGGGCCAACAAATCTGGCAACCGAGGCGTGGAGGTGCGCATCGTTCACCTGTGTGTGCGGTGTGCACCCATTGCCGTGGAAGATGAGCGCGCGGCCCGTGTTGCGTACACATTCCGTCACATCCTGGGTCGGATGCCAGCTGGACCAATCGAGAATCACGACAATGCTCTCCCGGAAACCCTGTGCTTTCATTGGGATGTTTCTGGTCGTTTTGGGATCTGCCTCCCTCCAGGAAAACCCCACCCAGGAGCAATAGACCCCCAAGAGGCCCCCAAGAGGCCCCCCGAGAGGCCGCCGAAAGGCCCATGAGAGCCCCACGAGCACTCCCAAGACACCCCGATAGAGGGTAACATCAATGATGTCTCTGGTCGTCGTCGTCGTCGCGATCCCCCTTCAAGGTCGGCGGCACCAGCCTTAAGGCCTTCGCACAAGACAGCTTAAATTCAAGCGCTGTTTCGTTACATGTCCACAGATCTGTTTAAGTTTGCGGAATGCTTCCGATTATGGTTCGGCGCGATTGAGTTCGATGGTGAATGTGTGCACTTTGGGCGTTATGTCATATATTGTGTTGCGCATGTGTTATGCATCTTTGGTGCACTCTTGGCTCGCTTGCACCAAAAGTCCACAACTACGATGGTGCACGTTTGGTGAACCTGCTGGTGAACCTACACCAGAAGCGCACCACTATGCTGGTGCACTTTTGAGGCGCTTCCACCAACACTGAACCACTGTGATCATGTGGCGGAATCCAGAACCCCTGAACATACACATGCTACCATCCCTTGGGGGTGCATCGTTCTCAGCGGCGAGCCATCGGGGGCAGCGAGGAGGAGCAGGCCTTCGCAGAAGTCTCGGAAGTCCCCCTGACCTTCTGAGCAATTTCTAAGCCTTCCTGGAAAACACGGAACATCGCTCAGAAGGCGCAGGGGCTTCTGAGAAGTCCCGCCGCCTTCTGAGAAGGCCTTCTCCTTCTCGCTTCCCCCCTCGCTCGCCGCCGATGTTTGCTTCCGCCAGCTTCCGCCTTCTTCCGCTGGCGGAGTCGCCGCCGTTCTACGTCCGCCGCCCTCCGCTGTCCTTCCGCCGCCGCCCGCCGAGGAAGCGAGGACAACTCCCTCGAGCTTCGAGGGCGAGACCCTTTTCTGGAATGCCTCATGCCAGAGCGAGGGGGCCGAACGGTCTTATAACAGCAGATATGCCGACCCCTATCCCAGCTCGCCATCGCTCGGACGTCCATTCCCTGTGTTTTTGTTTCGGTTTCGTGCGTGGTTCTTTCGCCAAATGATCAAGGATGCTCCTCGATGGTCCTCGCCGAAAGAAAATGCACACGTCCGAGCGATGCCAAGCCAGTCTTCGTGGGGTTTCGGATGAGCCAGAAATTTGGAGCCCAACCCTGGGATATACGACGGGGGGGCGTCCAGCCTCGATAGGGGTGCCTCCGAATGGCGCGCTGGGGCTGCATCCTAGGGCCCCCCCCCCTTTTCTGCGAGGCCACAGTCTTCGGGCAGAACGCGGGGATGGGGGGGCAGAGATCGCCCGCGAGTGAAGGGGCCGAACGGTCTTACACAGCCCCCCAGTGCGTGGCCGAAGGGGGGCCCTGCGGTGCGGGTTCGTGCTGTTGCGCCGTCGCCGCCCCGCGGCCCGCCCGCGGCCCACCCGCGGTTCGCGGGAACCCCTCCGCCTCTTCCTTCTTCTTCCTCTTCTTCCTTCTCCTTGTGGCACGTCTCGAACACTCGGTCGTGACGAACATGCTAGACGCGAACAAGCGGCATGTGCTAAAACCGAAAAGCTGTAAGCAAGTTTTCGGCCCGGCCCTTGAACCCCCGACACTGTCGGGCTCGGAACGCCGCCTGGGGCCCAGGCCAAACTAGCCCACCTGAGGTGGGCCACCTGGCCTTGGGCGGCTCTGCCTTCTCATGCACGCATCCACATCCTCATCCTCGCGCGTTTCCCCCCTCACTCATCGAAACGAGTCTGGCCGAACCTTCGCTCCTGTCCGCAACCACAGAGGGGGCAACATGTTGCTCGTTCGTTTGGCACGGCCCTGCTGGTGGGACAGAACGTTTCGCAGCGGCAGGAGATCTGTGAGTCTCGCTGTCCATGTCGTGTTTGAGCGCCCTGGGGGTGTCCGAGGCGATGCGGGAGAGGAACTGCACGGCGGCCGTGCGCAGGATGCGTTCCGAGTAATACTCCTGCCAGGCAGCGACAGTGCCAGAGGTACGCCCACGATCCCGTACCCGAGGAGAGGAGGAGGGAGAAGGAGGAGCAGAGGGAGGAGGAGATGATGATAATGATGATCCACACGACTAAAGAGGTCAAGAGCTCTCAGGTCATACAGTCAGCCCGTATAGTAAGGATGCGCGATAAGGATGCAAGGGCCATGGGAACCCATTTCGAAGCTTCCCGACCGCGGCGCGGCCAGCGGAAGTGGCCGAGGATGGACCGAGGAGGCAGGGATGCAAGGGTACCCTTGGAAAGGTTGCCCATCCTTACTATGCGGGTTGACTGTACTGCCCCTGGAACCGACGCGTGTCCCTGTGGCCCTGCGGCGGCAGCGCACAATCTCGTGCCTCAGGCACCCTCGCAGATTCACCCGAGTGCCCCGAAACTGCACACTGCCCCAGCCGAAGCAAGTGGTGAGCAGGATCTGAATAGTCACGGCGACCCAGCCCGCAACAGAAGCACACGGTCAACGGGGCAGTGCAACAGCAGGCGGGCTGGTACGCAGCAAGCTGCAAGCGCCAGCGCAGCTTCATAACATCAACGCCCGCAGCCAGCGGAGGCATGCAAAGTCACGTCCTGCGACGCGCGAGTATGAAAGCCCAACCCAGAGCAACAGTCCCCCAGGCACGAGGCCATACACTGGACAGAATTGCTCTGCGTTGGCGAGAGCCCGATCCGGAGCGTCGGTAGCGAGCCACCACGCCGACGGTTCAGCCTCCCACATCGGAAGCTGGCAGCACAGACCTGGCGACAGGCGAGACGAGTGTATGCACCAGGCACCGAGCCAAGGCTGTGTGCGGCAAGAGGACTGAGCAGCAGCAGCGCAACTGTCCCTAGGCTCCTGCCCCGACGAGGGGACCTGTTGCTTTGCCATTGCCGTCGGAGCCCGATCCCGTACGTCGTCGAGCCTACACACCTGGTTCGGCTTCCGCACTACGCCCGAAGCCGCGCGCGGCAAAAACATAAACGCGTGCGCCGCTCCTTGCCATGTATCCTGAGAGCGGCTAGCGAAACACCTAGTCACCAGCAGAGCAATTCGTCCCAAAGGCACATGCCACAAACTGGAATGGTTGCTTAGCCGCTGGCATCGGAGTGCGGCCCCGTGTGTGAGCGGATGCCTACACACCTGGTTCGTCATGGTGATACTGATAACGGTAATGATGATGGTGATGGTGTTGATGATGATGATACTGATGCTTCTGGTGATGATGCTGATAATGATGCTGATGCTGATGCTGGTGCTGATGCTGATGCTGATGCTGATGTTGATGTTGATGTTGATGATGATGATGATGATGCTGATGATGATGATGAGGATGATGAGGATGATGATGATGATGATGATGATGATGATGATGATGATGATGATGGTGGTGGTGGTGGTGGTGGTGGTGGTGATGCTGGTGAGAAGGAAGAAGAGGAGGAGGAGGAGCAGCAGCAGGAGGAGCAGGAGGAGGAGGAGAGAAGAGGAGGGGCGCACGTAACCTGAGGCGGTTCGTGGTGACCTATGCACGCATTGCTGCAAGTGCGGCGGCTCGAATTTCGTAATGGCATGACGGCACCGGCTCTCGGCGCCGAAGAGAAGTGTCAGCTTTCAATTTATGATAGATGTGGAAGCTGAGCACTACAGTATGGTGGCACCTGAGACGGGGGTACTCGACCTCTGTGTCAGGCTCCGCTCCAAGACCCAGACGCGTGAGTGGAGAGACGGGGAGAAACCCGCGAGGGAGGGCGAGCAGGTGAAGCAGTCGAGGGCACACGAGGTAGTGGGGGAAGGCGTCAGGGTCTGAGCAGCCGAAAAGACAGGAGCAGGCTGGAGCACTGGGAAGTCGGGCGGACGTGGTCCACGCCCCTGCCAGGGTTTTGATATGGGCCCAGGCCCAGGAGGGAGGGGTGCGGGCAAGAAGAACACGGAGGGCACACCATCGATTCTCCAGCTCAGGAACAGAGGGCACGGCCTCGGGTGGAAGCCAGGACAGGAGGCGGCGGCGGAGAAGGGAGGGAAAGACGTCAGGGAAGAGGGACGAGCAGAGGATACGGGAGAGCACTCTCTGTGGACGTGGGCGGCGCTCCTCAGATGCTGCCGCCTCAATCTCACCTGCCGCAGCTGTCGTCGCTGCAAGCCACTGTCCCGCCTCCACACCAGGAGCGTGGCTGAGAGAGGACTCTAGGAATTCGGCAATCGAAACAGATCGGGCCCAACAGGCGGGCGAGACGCGACCTGCTGCCATGGCGCTCAGGGGGCCAACCATCTGCCCGTGAGAGCGGAGGAGCAGGAGAGGTTCCGCCAGGAGAGGTTCCGCCCACCCCCTAGGCCCGTCCCGAGGAAGAGTGAGGGTGGCCGTCCGCCAGGCCGATGAGGCGGCGAGGACACGGGCAGACCGCGGGACTGCCGATGGGAGCCAGGCACTGATGCCTAGCAGCTCTTTGAGGCCGAAGGAGTTGGGTGGGAGACGGAGGAGACGGTGGAGGACGTGGCGCTCAGCCCGAAGGAGGGACGAGGAAAGGGGGAAGAGCTGACAGACATAGCTGAGGACTGGGAGAATGCATGAGTTGTAAAGCCTGCAGCTAGACTCCGCAGGCGCTCGGGAGAGGGCCGTCTCGGCCGTCCGCGAGCGCCATTTCCTGATAGGGGCAGCCCACTGATGGTCTATAGCGGCTGCGGGTCCAAACTCTATGCCCAGAAAAGTAGTGCGACCGCGCACGTGGAAGCCAGCCCACTCTGGGACCAGGCTCGCTATGAGATGCTCGAATCTATCTTGGACCATTGGTGTGCACTCCTCAGCCAGGGGGACAGCGCAGCATTTTTCGGGCTGGAGGACGAGGTTGGCCAGAGTGCGGGCGGCTTCGAATGGTGGGAGGAGGTCGGGAAGGATCGAAATCGAGGGGAGGGAAATACCCACGTCATCCGCCGTCGCTCCACACTCTGGGTATAAACCTGGGCACCATCTGAACGGGCTTGGGCACATCGCTCTGGCTGAAGGACTGGAAACCTGGGCCTCGAGGTGACGCAAGAAGGGATCCATGCAGAGGGCCCAAATGGTGCCAGACAAGGGACAGCCTTGGGCCACTCCTGAGGAGACCATAAAGAGCACCATCCTGGCGGCGCCACATCGGGCGTGGGCGAGAGCCCCTGAATACAAGGCCGAGATTACATTCAGAAACCCCGTCGGGATGCGGTGTCGCTCGAGCACGCGGCGGAGGAACGTCTGGGACAGGGAGGGGAAGGCAGCCCGAAGGTCGAACGAGAGGAAGGCAGGGGAGAGGCCAGGGTGGTGCCCCGCAGCTCGAGCGATCGCGTCCTGGCGGACAATGTGGCCGAGAAAATTGCGGCCTCTGATAAAGCCCTGCTGCACAGGGTGGGCACGGGCGGCAGTCAGACGTCCGAGCTGCAAGTTCACCACCGCCGCCACCGCCTTCGCATCGGAGTTCTTAAGGCTCAGGGGGCGGAGCTGGTTGGGCCCCCTCACCACGTCGTATGAATCAGACATCTCAGAGCCCTTGGGAGCGAAGGCCATGTCCGCGTAGTTGAAGCCGAGGGGGGCACCGCCGCCTGCGAAGAGCCTCAGCATCATGGAGTAGAGCACCTCAGAAAGCCTCTCGTCCGCCATCCAGGCTTTCGCCATGAGGCGGTCTGGGCCTGGGGCGGTCGGTCTCGCGCGCCGGAGGACCGCACGGAGCGCCTCGATGGAGGGGACGTGCATGGTGGGAGCCTCGAAGGGCGGGAGGTGCTGGTCCAGGTAGCGGTCGATCGCCTCAGCGTCAACAGGCTTGTCCGTGAAGTGCGGCTTCCAGTGGTCCCGCAGCGCGTCGACGACCCTAGAGGGATCCCTCTCGATCGACGCCCCATGGCCACTGGAGTCGAGACGGACTCCCGCAAGGACCAGACGACGGCGGAAGGGTGCCCAGAGCATGGCCCTTCTCTGTGCAGCCCGCTGGAGCTTCAAGAGTTGCCACTTATCAGGTCCTTCAGCACCAGGTCGTAGGCGGGACTCCTCGCGGAGCCGAGCAGCAGCTGCAGCACGTTGACGCTCATGCCAAGCGAGGTGGAGGAGCCTGCAATCCCTCTCAAAGTCCTCCGCCGCCTGCAGGGAGACCACATCGGAGGGACTGATAGCGAGGTGCTTCGCGCCCATCTCCGTCGAGCGCACGAGGCGGAGCGCCAGCTGCACATCCTGACGCCATATCGCTCTCGCGATGGCTCGTGCCGTGAGGCGACGGCCATCAGTCGCATCCTCGCTCCCGTCACCCAGGGGCAAGGCCTGAATCTCGTTCCTGGTCAGGCGCGCCGCCTCGGTCATGACTTCTTTGACCAGCTGCCATCGAGAACCAATCTCCAGGGAGTCCAGCTCAGCCACGTCCAGGAGGGCCTTCACGTGCTTCTTGAAGCGGTCCGTGTTGAAGATGTTCGGCGGGATGGGCTGCTCATTCACTGGGGTCTGGGCACGAGTCCAGATCTTCAGCTGGATGATGGCGTGGTCGCTGAGGCCCCAGTCAGCAAGCTTCGCAGCCTCCTGCCATATCTCAAAGGAGACCGCAGTGCTCAGGATGGAGTGCGATTTCAGCGAGACAAAGGCGCGGTCAATGAAGGAGCACGTCTGGTGCTGCTTGGAGAAGTGGGTGGGGAGCTCACAGGTAATCTCTGCCAGGGACTGCTGGAATAGAGCTCTCCAGAAACCCTGACCTTGGTTCCCCCGATGCCAAACCGAGCGGCTGTTACCCGCTCTTCTTGTCCTATCCCTCGAGGCAGCAGACGAGGTCGTGGAGGACGAGGAGCCGCTGGAGGACGCCGAGGCAGCACGCGGTGGCGATCTGGGGAGAGCGCCAGGGGCCTGGGGCAAACCAGCGGCGGTGGGCTGCTCGAGGGACAGCGGCTCAATGTCAGCTATGTTGAAGTCGCCAATAGCTAAGAAAATGCGGTGTCTTTCGTCTTCTTGTGCCCAGCGAGCCCCATCCATCCAGCAACGCT